CCTTATGTTTGTTTTTAGTTTTCCTAAACCTTCAGGTGAGAACAATTTCTTCAAATAAGAAAATAATGAAATTTTCTGCATCGATTGACTCTTTTCTTTTTTCTTTCTTTACCTTTTTTTTTTTTTTTTTTAAGATGGAGTCTCACCCTGTTGCCCAGGCTGGAGTGCAATGGTGTGATCTTGGCTCACTGCAACGTCTGCCTCCTGGGTTCAAGTGATTCTCCCACCTCAGCCTCCCCAGTAGCTGGGATTACAGGTACCTGCCATCATGCTTGGCTAATTTCTGTATTTTTGTAGAGATGGGGTTTCACCATGTTGGCCAGGCTGGTCTCGAACTCCTGACCTCAGGTGATCCACCCACCTCGGCTTCCCAAAGTGCTGGGATTACAGGCAGAAGCCACCACACCCGGCCGACTCTTCATTTCTAGAAAGGTTTCTCTGTAATATGTGATGTTGTTTGACATTGTTTTACCCACAGTAAAACTTCTTTCAAAATTGGAGTTAATCCTGGCCAGGCACAGTGGCTCACGCCTGTAATTCCAGCACTTTGGGAGGCCAAGGTGGGTGGATCACCTGAAGTCAGGAGTTCAAGACCACCTGGCCATCATGGTGAAACCCCGTCTCTACTGAAAATGCAAAAATTAGCCAGATGTGGCAGTGGGCACCTGTAATCCCAGCTACTGGAGAGGCTGAGGCAGGAGAGTCACTGGAACCCAGGAGGCAGAGGTTGCAGTGAGCTGAGATCTCGACATTGCACTCCAGCCTAGGCAACACAGCAAGACTGTATCTCAAACAACAAACAAAGCAACAAAAACTGGAGTCAATCCTCTCAAACTGCTGCTGCTTTATGAACTAAGTGTATCCCACATCTTATTGCTGTTTCAGCGATGTTCACAGCATCTTCACCTGCAGTAGATTCCATTTCAAGAAACCACTTTCTTTGCTCATCCAAAAGAAGCAAGTCCTCATCTGTTCAAATATTATCATGAGATGACAGCCAAAGTCCCATCTTCAGGCTCCACTTTTTTTTTCTTAGTAGAGATGAGGTCTTGCTGTGTTACCCAGGTTGGTTTGGAACTTCCGAGCTCAAGTTGCCCTCTTGCCCTGGCCTCCCAAAGTGCTGGGATTGGAGGTGTGAGCCGCCATGCCTGGCCTCAGGCTCCACTTCTAGTTCTGGTTCTTTTGCTTTGGTTCTCTTTCTGCATCTGCAGTTTCTTTCTCCGCTGAAGTATATCTCCAGCCCCTCAAAGTTGTCCATGAAGGTTGGAATCAACTTCTTCCAAACTCCCATTAATGTTAATATTTTGACTTCCTCCCACAAATCACATGTCATCTTGGAGGCATGGACCAGAGAGCTATATTTTCTTTTTGAGACAGGTTCTCCCTCTGTTGCCCATGCCGAATGCAGTGGTATGAATATGGCTCACTGCAGCCTCAACCTCTTGGGCTCAAGTGATCCTCCTGCCTCAGCCTCCTGTGTAGCTGGAACTACAGGCACACACCACCACACTCAGCTTTTTTTTTTTTGAGACACTGTTTTACTCTGTTGCCCAGGCTGGAGTGCAGTGGTGTCATCTTGGTTAACTGCAATCTCCCCCTCTTGGGTTCAAGTTATTCTCATGGCTCAGCCTTCCAAGTAGCTGGGATTACAGGCGCTTGCCACCATGCCTGGCTGATTTTTGTACTTTTAGTAGAGATGGGGTTTCACCATGTTGGCCAGGCTGGTCTTGATCTCCTGACCTCAAGTGATCTACCCGCCTCATCCTCCCAGAGTGCTGGAATTACAGGCATGAGCCACTGCGCTTGACCTATTTTTTTTTGTATAGACAGGGTCTCGCTTTGTTATCCAGGCTGGTCTCGGACTCCTGGGCTCAAGGGATCTTCTTGCCTCAGCCTCCAAAAGTGCTGAGATTATAGGTGTGAGCCACCATATCAGGCCTAATCATGAATATTCTTTGTTTTCTGAGACAGAGTCTCACTCTGCCACTCAGGGTGGAGTGCAATGGCACAATCTTGGCTCATTGCAACCACTGCCTCCTGGATTCAATTTAAGTGATTCTCGTGCCTCAGCCTCCTAAGTAGGTGTGACTACAGGAGTGTGCTACCACGCCCAACTAATTTTTTTTTTTTTTTTTAGTGGAGATGGAGTTTCGCCATGTTGGCCAGCTTGGTCTCAAACTCCTGATCTCAGGTTATCCACCTGCCTCAGCCTTCCAAGGTGCCAGGATTACAGGCTTGAGGGACCACATCTGGCCCTAATCATGAATATTCTTAATGGCACCTAGAATGATGAATGCTTTCTAGGTTTTCAGTTTATCCAGATCCATCAGGGGAATCACTACGGCAGCTATAGCCTTACAAAATGTATTTCTTAAATAAGACTTGAAAGTTGAAATTATTTCATCCATGGGCTGCTGAATGGATGTGTTAGGGATGAAAACAGCATTATTTCCCTGGTACCCTCCATTAGAGGTCTTGGGTGATCAGGTGTATCGTCAGTGAGCAGTAATAATTTTGAAAGAAATCTTTTTTTTTTTCCTGAGCAGTCCATCTCAACAGTGGTTTAAAATGTTCAGTAAACCTCATGCCTATAATCTCAGCAATTTGGGAGGCCGATGCAGGCAGATCACCTAATGTCAGGAGTTTGAGTCCAGCCTGGCCAACATAGTGAAACCCCATCTCTACTAAAAATATAAAAATTAGCCAGGCGTCCTGGCACATGCCTATAATCCCAGCTATTTGGGAGGCTGAGTCAGGAAAATCACTTGAACGGGGGAGCCAGAGGTTGCAGTGAGCTGAGATTGCACCTCTGCCCTCCAGCCTGGGCCACAGAGCAAGACTCTGTCTCAAAAAAAAAAGTTCAGTAAACCATGCTGGAAACAGATGTGCTGCCATCCAGGCTTTGTTGTTCCATCTGTAGAGCACAGGCAGAGTAGATTTAGCATCATTAGCAAGAGCCCTAGGATTTTCGGAATGGTAAATGAGCATTGGCTTCAACTTAAAGTCGCCAGCTCCACTAGCCCTAACAAGAGTCAGCCTCTCCTTCGAGGCTTTGAAGCCAGGGATTGGCTTCTCCTGGCTAGCTATGAAAGTCCTAGATGGCATCTTCTTCCAGTAGAAGGCTAATTTTCTACACTGAAGGTCTGTTGTTGAATGCAGCCGCCTTCTTCAGTGATCTGAGCTGAATCTGGACGGATAACCAGCTGCAGCTTCTCCATCAGCACTTGCTGCTTCACCTTGCACTTCTGTGGCATGGAGACGGCTTCTTTCAACCTCACAAACCAACCTCTGTTAGCTTCTAACTTTTCTTCTGCAACTTTCTCACCTCTTTCTACCTTCACAGGACTGAAGAGAGCGAGGGCCTTGCTCCGGACTCGGCTTTGGCTTAAAGGAAGGTTGTTGCGGGTTTGATCTTTCCAGACTGAAACTTTCTCCCTATCAGCAATAAGGCTGTTCTGTTTTCATATCCGTGTGTCCACTGAAGCAGCACTTTTATTTATTATTTTTTTGAGACGGAATTTCACTCTGTCACCCAGGCTGGAGTGCAGTGTTGTGATCTTGACTCATTGCAACCTCCGCCTCCCCTGTTCAAGTGATTCTCCTGCCTCAGCCTCCAGAGTAGCTGGGATTACAGGCGTGTGTACCACCAAGCCTAGCCAATATTTTGTATTTTTAATAGAAATGGGATTTCACCATGTTGGCAAGGCTGGTCTCGAACTCTTACTGTCAAGTGATCCACTTGCCTCTGCCTCCCATGAGCCACTGCACCCAACCTGGAGCATGTGCTTTTAATTTCCTTCAAGAACTCCTTCATAATGTGGCTACCCATTTGGTGCAGGAGGCCTGGCTTTTGGCCTCTCTCAGCTTTCAACATACCTTTCTCACTAAACATAGTCATTTTGACCTTTTGATTTAAAGTGAGAGACATGTGATCCTTTCTCCCTTTTTCTGTTTTCTGTTTTGAGACAGGGTCTCACTCTCACCCAGGTTGGAGTGCAGTGGCAGGATCTCAGCTCACTGCAGCCTCTGCCTCCACCTCCCAGGCTCAAGGGATCCTCCTACCTCAAGCTCCCAAGTAGCTGGGACTACAGGCGTGTACCACCATGCCGAGCTAATTTTTGTATTTTTAGTAGAGATGGGGTTTCGCTATGTTGCCCAGGCTGATCTCAAACTCCTGAGCTCAAGGAATCCGCCAGCCTTGGCCTCCCAAAGTGCTGTGATAACAGGCGTGAGTCACCCATTGCCTGGCCAAAACTTAGAGGCCATTGGAGGGTTATTAATAGGCTTAATTTCAGTATTATTTTGTGTCTCAGGCCATGGAGAGACTCAAGGAGAGGGAGAGAGACAGGGAATGGATGGTGTGTGAGCAGTGAGAACACACTCAACATTCATTCATTCATTTATTTATTTATTTATTTATTTATAGACGGAGTCTCACTCTGTTGCCCAGGCTGAAGTGCAATGGCTCGATCTCGGCTCATTGCAACCTCCGCTTCTGGGGTTCAAGCGATTCTCCTGCCTCAGTCTCCTGAGCAGCTGGGACTACAGACATGCACCACCACGCCCAGCTAATTTTTCTATTTTTAGTAGAGACAGGGTTTCACCATGTTGGCCAGGATGATCTCTATCTCTTGACCTTGTGATCTGCCTGCCTCAGCCTCCCAAAGTGTTGTGATTACAGGTGTGAACCACCAAGCCTGGCCTGGATTCCTATTTTTAAGAACCAGTTCACTGACTAATCTTATGGCAGATGTGGGGAAGGAGCCTGAGAGATGTGGTGATCTGCCAGTATTTGAGAACCACACAGGTACGAAACAGAGTAAACCTAGGCCCCTGACTCCAGCTCAGGGTCCCTCCATCCTCCCCTAGATCCCTCCCCTTCTGCAGACCCATCGGGCCTTCAGATTACTACACACCCAGGGCCAGTACTCTAAGGCCAAAAAACCAAAATCAAAGGCTGCCAATATTGCAGTGAAGTATAGTAACTGATACACAAAACGCTTTGGAGACCTTTTTATTGTTTAAAAATCATAATAGAAGCTTCAAAAAACATACAAGCCAAGACATCCCAGTTCTAGGCCCCTGCTCCCTAGAGGAGCACAGGGCTATCCTTCCCTCCTTCTCCCACACCACTAGCCAGGACCCTGCCCGGGGAGGTCGCCTGCCCACCCTCCTGCCCACTGTGCAATCAGTCACTGGCTGGGGAGGGGCCCTGGGGGAGATGGGGGTGGCTGGCTCCCAGCACCCCCACCCCCTGCACGAATGCAGCCTATGAGCTCTGTGTGGGAAAATGGGGACAGTGCCCTGGGCAGGGGACCCTCGAGGGGGAAAGAGCCTGTCCCCATTCACCTGACTCCTCCCCAGCCCCCCAGCTCAAGGGAAGCTGTCATCATCATCTTCTGCCATCTCCTTGGCAAACTCCAAGTCCTGCTGTTCTCGCTCACGCCGTTCCTGGGGAGAGAGGCGGGGTGAGGCCAAAGCTTCAGAGCAGCTCCCATTCCTTCCAGACACTTCCCCACCTCCCCTTGTGTGTGGAAATTTGACCTTTCAGTCTCACCCAGAAAGCAGAGAGCTTACCTCTGCAGACTCCAAGTCCTTGTTGTTGATTTAGGAGGAAACCTCATGGCCTGGGGCACAGCAGAGAGAGGAGCGAGGTAAGGGAGGGGAGGAAGCAGGGGAGGCATTTGTGCAACCTGCACTCCCTGCGTCCCCTGTGAGCCAACACCCAGCAGGAAGCAGCGGGCCCTCTCCAGTTAGTCTAGTGGGGGGCCAGGCATCAAAGGAATTACAGTGCACTGTGGGAAATACTGAAAAGAGGAATAAATGACCAACACTCTCAACTGGGCAGGGAGGAGGAAAAGGAGGAACACAGTGGGTGTGGGAATGGGGAGAGGCCAGGCCTGTGCTCAGTGGGGCGAGACATTAGGGATTAGGTCACAAGGGGCCTTGCATATCACGTGAAGAAGGGCTTAGCTGGATTTTAAGCAAGGGAGCAATATCCCTAGTTTCCTGGGAGGAGACTGGAAGAAAACATGGCAACCAAATAGTAATAGCACCAAACTCAGTGCCTGAGGATGAGGGCTCCCCCTTTCGTGGAGCTAGATACCAGCGCGGTCCTTTCTTTCTTTTCTTTTCTTTTTTTTTTTGACAGAGTTTTGCTCTTGTCGCCTAAGCTGGAGTGCAATGGCATGATCTGGGCTCACTGCAACCTCCACCTCCCGGGTTTAAGTGATTCTCCTGCTTCAGCCTCCTGAGTAGCTGGGATTATAGATGCGTGCCACCGCCCAGCTAATTTTTTGTATTTTTAGTAGAAATGGGGTTTCACCATGTTGGCCAGGCTAGTCTCGAACTCTGGCCCTCAGGTGATCTAACTGCCTCGGCCTCCAAAAGTGCTGGGATTACAGGTGTGAGCCACATCCCCTCCCCCCCCAGCCCAGTCCCATCTTTTTTACAATTTAGACTTTGTTAAGTGCCTCAATACAGGGACTTCATTTAATCTTACCAACCCTATGAAGCAAGCAAGACAGGTAACACCTCCCTATCAGCTTCAGAGATGGAGAAATAGAGCTCTGAGAAGTTAAATGACTCAAATTTGGAACCCAATGTAGAGCCCTGCCCTCTGAATCCCTGCTTGGTCCTCCATGGTGACCAAATCCCTTAAACAGAAGAGGAGAGGGCAACTAGCTGTGGAACTGTGGCCAAGTCCCCTCTGCATTCTGGGACCCCTGTGCTGCAGCTCAGTGATTTTATAGCGACAGGCTGGGACTTGGGTCTTCTCTGAGGAATCCATGAATGTGGAGGGAGGGGCGTGCTGCTGCCAGGTGTGACTCTGCAGCCACAGGCTCCTCACCTTGACAGACATGTGGATATCTAGGCAGAAGGAGATGCGCTGGTGGAAGGCCAGCTGGGGCTCTCGGGTGGAATAGATGTCAATCATCTCCTTGGATTGGACATAGCCCTTCTCATGATTGATGCTGGCCTCAATGACACCATCCCGGAAGGCCTACAGGCCCCCAAAGAGGAAAGAAAGTTCACCAGCACACCCATCTTCTTTTGTTTTTTTTTGAGACAGAGTCTCATTCTGTCACCCAGGCAGGAGAGTGCATGATCTTGGCATGATCTTGGCTCACCGCAACCTCCGCCTCCCGGGTTCAGGCAATTCTCCTGCCTCAGCCTCCTGAGTAGCTGGGATTACAGCACCTGCCACCATGCCTGGCTCATTTTTGTATTTTTAGTAGAGACAGGCTTTTGCGAAGTTGGCCGGGTTGGTCTCAAACTCCTGACCTCAGGTGATCTGCCCGCGTTGGCCTCCCAAAGTGCTAGGACGATGCATGAGCCAGTGCGCCTGGCCCAGCACACCCATCTTCTAAGCCAGAGAACATCTTGTTCCATCCCATTCCTCTGCCTGCCTTATATTCTCACACTCGCAGGCACTATCATAAACTCAACATGTGCACACACCTACACTCACACGCACATCCATTCTCCCTCTGGCAACTTCTTGGCTTCACTGCAAATGACGGGCCCTCCCTGAAAAGACTATGCCATTGCTTTACCTATTCCCCTCCTTGGCCAAACTCCTCCCATTCCTGCCTCCTGAAATTGGCAGGAAAGTGACAACCTGGTCCCTGTGGTTCCTGAACCAGCCCCACCTTGGCAACAATGAACTCTGCATCTTCGGGGCTATCCAACTGCAGCTTCTGGGCGATGTCGGCCAAGGAGATTTGGGAATAGGAGAGGCTGATTATGCGCACACCTGGGAGAGGAAGGAGAGATGGGGTGGGCAGGGCAGGGTGGGCACAGACCCTTCACTTGCCCACAGATAGCCACTGGGTTTGCCCCAGCCTGGCTTCTGTTCCTCCGACAGCCCCTCAGATCCTGATCCACACCTGTCTTAATCACGTTGTGCCACAGCTGGATAATTAGGGTGTAGGTCCCATCTGCTTGAAACGTCTCCCCAAACTGATCCAGGACCTGGTTGAACTTGGCTAGGTTTCCTGTCCTGACAGCTGCAGGGAGAACAGGAGTGGACTGGATGATGCAAACGGGCATGGGCACGGAAAAGGCCCCAGTGAAGGGGGCCTAGCGGGCTCTGGGGTGGGGAAGCCAGCCTTACCTTGAATCAGAAGGAAATAGGGCATGAGTGAACGCTTGAGGGATGGCTGTCGGAACTGCAGCCGGTCGGGGATCTCCCCCAGCAACAGCTCCACCACGATGAGAAGCTTGTGCACCTGGACAGAGTGACCGGGGACCCAGTGGGCAGGGAGCCCTGTGGGCGGAAGAAGAAAATGAAATGTGGCCTAAATTCTGCCAGATACAGTGGGAAACAGGGAAAGGGAGCACTGTTTAGGCTCGGAGAGAGGAGGAGAGCATGGGATCCAAGCTCTGCCTTTGGTCGCAGAGCCCTCAGCTGCGTTTCACCTGACCACCCCGTGCACACTCTGCTCTGAAATGACAGCGCTCTAAGGCCAGATGGGCGGGTGCTGTGGCTCAGCAATGGCAAGGGACCAGGCCTCATAGGCCTGGGGAATGGAACGGGTGTCAGCCAGATGCTCACTAGGGAGGTGGACTGTTACTGGAGGAGAGGAGGGGATCAGTGGGTAGAATTCATTATCTGTGTAGAGGCAGACGAGCCCAAAGGGGCCTGGCCTCAGTGAAGAGCAGAGTATACAGACATAGAAGGGTGGCTGGAAACCCAGCCTGTCTTCCTCCACAGGACTGAGGTATTTCCGAGTGGTGCCAGCTGTGGATCCAGCACCATGCAAGAACTATGGTGGAGGGACCATAGTTAATTGCTAGTTTTAGAGATGAGGAAACCAAGGACGCTTGCCGACTCAGGGTCTTACCAGCAAATGGGAGGCACAGAACACAAGGCAGTTAAATCGAGGGGCAGCAAGTGTCAGGGGGAGCAGGGGTTACAACAGGAGTGTGTGATCACACCCACAGCCAGGAGGACCCTTCACCCCCCACAGGCACCCATGAGGCCGCCCTGTCCCTTGGAGTAACCCAGATGTGAGGGTAAATCCCTGGAAATGGTTATTTACGAAGTGCCTTAAGGATTCTGACAAAGCAGAAAAAGGAGGAGGGTCAAGGGTGCAGAGCGAAAAAGAGGCAGAGAAGTGTGGGTGCCTGGGGAGCTGTTAGGAAATGGACAGTTGGGACCACGGTCTGGGACATGCCATTGCCATTCTGAATGCCAGGCTGAGCAGTTTGAAGTTGGCACATAGAACGCCTGCTGTCTAGCTAGTAAACACTGAGCAACTGGGTCCTTGGCTTCCTCATCTCTAACACTAGCAAATAACAGTAACAATACCCAGCCTGTCTACCTCACGAGATCGCACGATACTCCGCGGCAGTGGGGAGCAATGGAAGCTTCCCAGGCAGGGGCAGGAGAGAGCTGGAGCCCTGCTTAGTAAGGCAAGGGAGTGTCAGCTGGGCTGGTGGAGAGGAAGATGACCAGGCAGAAGTGTCCGGAAATGTTAGCAGCTGGAACCACGGCACCAGCAACACCAAGGAATAGGCAAACACAAAAGACGTGCAGACAATTCAACAGATGACCCACTGATGGGAAGGGGGCGAGGGAGAGCCAGAGGATCCCAAGGCCCTGACCTGGATTGGGACAGCAGGAGGAAGGACTGGGAAGGGGGCCAGGTGGGTCTGTTTGGGATATGCTGTATAGAGAGATATGGGGGGTGGGAGGGAGAGCTGGATCTGTAGGCCTGATGTTCCCAAGAGGGGTCAGAGGCAGTGTTATAGGATAAACTGTGTCCCCCTCAAATTCATGTTATAGACCTAAACCCCAGGACCTCAGAGTGGGACTGTATTTGGACATAGGGCCTTTAGAGGTAATTACGGTAAAACGAAGTCATATGGGTGGACCCTAATCCTATATGATTATTGTCCTCCTATGACAAGAGCAGGACACAGACACGCACAGAGGGAAGACCATGTGAAAACACCAGGAGACGGCCATCCACAAGCAGACGAGAGAGGTCCTCAGAAGAAACCAATCCTGTCGACACTTGCTCTTGGACTTAGAGCCTCCAGAATTGTGATGAAACACATCTTGGTTGTTTAAGCCACCAAGTCTGTGGGACCTTGAGGTGGCAGCCCCAGCAGAGTAACGGAGTTAGCAGTGTACTGGCTGAAGAGCATCATGCAGGCGACAGCTGAAGCTGGGAAAGCAAACAAGGACGCTCAAGGAGAGAATGAGGGTTTCACTATCGACAGAGAAGCTCTCAGAGTGCTCTGCTGAGGCCGGGTGGTGAGGAGGAGCAGAGAGAACGCTGGAGGGAAAGAGCTGGCCACTGTGCTGTTGGGGAGGGAGCTGAGGGGGACAGGAATGGCCGCTTGAGAGGAGAAGCAGCAGGGCTGGGGGCTTTCTGCCAGGAGACTGAAGCAAACAGGCGATGAGCCAAAGCCGGAAGAGAGGAAGGAGTGGGATGGAAAACACAGGTAGCGAAGCTGGCATTAAGTAAAGACAGGGAGGGTAAGAATGGGTGGAGAGAGACATTTGAGTTTCCAGGAGACAAGGCAGCTTCAGGAACGAACGCCAGCTGGCCTCCAGCCCTGAAGGGATGAGCTGGCACCGCCCTCCTCAGGGCGCTCTGTGCACCGGCAGCACTGGCATCACCCAGGGCCCGTTAGGAACAGACTCTCTGAATAGGAACCTACAGCTTCATCAGACCCCCAGGTGATTCCGTGAGCTGGGGTGGCCACAGGGGTGTGGCAGGGGTATGTGAGGGCAGAGGGCAGAGGGCTGGTTGCAGGCCTTCTCCCAAATATGCCTGCACTCCCGCCTTTTCTCTCCCCGGGCTCCCTCACCAACAGTGCCCTGGCCTCTCTTCCAGCTCTCTCTAAGCCTTCCTGCCACTGGGCTCCACCACAGGAAATGGAAAGCTTCCATGTCCATAGTAAAATCTCATTAAAAACACTGCCTGAAAGCCCCTCCTGGGGTACATGCCACATTTTATACGTTAATTACTTGGATCTTTAGTGATTTTTAAAAGAAACTTTAGTGTGTCTTATATTGTAAGCAATCTAACATTTTGCGCATGTACCATGTGTCTGAAAAGCCTTTACTTTTTGTAAAAATCCTACCCATCTTTGAAAGGCCAGTTCAATTTTAACGTTTCTTTTTTCTTTTGAGATACAGTCTTGCTCTGTTACCAGGCTGGAATGCAGTGGCTCAGTCTCAGCTCACTGCAACCTCTACTACCGAGGTTCAAGTGATTCTCCGGCCTCAGCCTCCTGAGTAGCTGGGACTACAGGTGGGCACTACTACACCCAGCTAATCTTTGTATTTTTAGTAGAGTGGGGGTTTTGCCATGTTGGCCAGGATGGTCTCGATCTCCTTTCTTTTGTTTAAAGACGGGGTTTCGCCCTGATGGCCAGGCTGGTCTTGAACTCCTGACCTCAGGTGATCCACCCACCTCGGCCTCCCAAAGTGCTAGGGTTACAGGCGTGAGCCACCATGCCCAGCCTGGTCTCAATCTCTTGACCTCGTGATCCACCTGCCTCGGCCTCCCAAAGTGCTGGGATTAGCCACTGCACCAGGCCACGTTTCTCTTTTTTCAAGACAGAGTCATGTTCTGTTGCCCAGGCTGCATGCAGTGTAGTGGCATGATAATGGCTCACTGCAGCCTCGACCTCCTGGGCCCAAGTGATCCTTGCACCTCAGCCTCCCAAGTAGCTGGGACTATAGGTGCATATGCCAATACACCCAGCTAGGATTTTTATTTTTGCAGAGATGGTGTCTCCATATATTGCTCAGTTTGGTCCCAAGCAATCCTCTTGCCTTGGCCTCCCAAGTGTTGGGATTATAGGTGTGAGCCACTGTATCCAGTCAACTTTTTCTTTAAGACCCTTTCTCTTTAATTATTTGATCAAAAACAAATTTGACTTTCTCTGAACTTCTGAACAGAAATAAATCTCCCACTGCACTGACCTAATCAATGTACATATTTCCCGTTCCCTGTCAAGGCACTATGGAGGTGGACATTGTGTGAAGGTGCAGTGTTTGCACAAAGGGCTTGAGACAGCTAGTGTGACTCACCCCATCTTGGCTGCTGGACCTGTCTGCTCTCCCCCCACTCTTGAGGGCTGTCGAGTCGAGGTAAAAATGGCTAAGCCACTGAGGCAAAAACAGAATGCAGAGCAAGGGCCTGTGGTTTATGAGGACATTGTGCTGACTGCTTTCATATCCCCTTTAGTCTCTGTGTAAGCAATAAGCTTGCTGCAATTGAGGTGCCTGAGAGGGGCAAAGACCCCTGCCCATATTTTCTCAGGAGCTGAGCCTCTGTTCTACCTCCTGATGGAAAACATGATTAACAAGCCACCTTAAGGGCACCATTGTTTGCTTGCACTGTGTATCTTTGAAAAACATATATTAACTCTTAAACTGCTTTGTAAGCTATTATCACAAGCCCCCTCAAAACTGCTTTGTGAGCTGTTATCACAGGCCCCTGATAACTATTTTTACGTGATTTCTGTTCCCTTTTCTGTTTGCCCCCTTTTCTGCTGAGCTAAAGTAAATGTAACAAGAAAAAAGGTTTAAAAGCTGTCACCCACAAAAATAAAGCTGCTGCTTGACTACAAGTCATTCAGACCTCCAGACTCCGCTTTTCTTTCTTCTTTCACTTCCACGCACTCTCTCCCTCAGGTTGAATGAGACATCTACGTTGGTGGTCTTGGGGACTCCCCCAGGTCGGTAGCCCCCTGGCAGATGTGCTGGACCCAAACATGAAGGTAAGAGAAAAGGTTTGAATTTGGGAAGACTGGGTCTACATCCTGGCTGCTGGGCTCTGACTTCACATATATCCTTCAAGCTTTTTGAGTCAACATTTTTTTATCTATTTGAAATACTGTAAGAAATACCTCACCAGGCATGGTGGCTCATGCCTGTAATCCCAGTACTTTGGGAGGCTGAAGCAGGCAGATCATGAGGTCAGGAATTCAAGACCAGCCTGGCAACATGGTGAAACCCTGTCTCTACTAAAAATACAAAAATCAGCTGGGCGTGGTAGTATGCATCTGCAATCCAAGTTACTCAGGAGGTTGAGGCAGGAGAATTGCCTGGACCCAGGAGGCAAAGGTTGCAGTGAGCTGAGATCATGCCACTGCACTCCAGCCTGGGTGACAGAGCAAGACTCTGTCTCAACAAAAAAGGTAAAAAGAAGGAAAGAGATAGCAGCTGGGCACGATGGCTCAAGCCTGTAATCCCAGCACTTTGGGAGGCCGAGGCAGGTGGATCACGAGGTCAGGAGATCG